AAAATATACGTACGGTTTCGCATTCAAATATTAAAATTATAATTCATAATACGACTACAAAACATAAGGAATTTTTTTCTATGAATAAAGGTTATTTACGATCGTTTTAAGAAATGTTAATATACCTGGGTAGGTACTTTAAAGCTTAAACAATATAACATTTAGGATTAGCGAAAAACATTCTTTTACAGAATAAATTTGAATAATACTTTTTGTTGTATTGAGAATACCGATGGTTTGTGACAATCCAAAAAATAGTATTTATTTTATATTATTCATTTGTTTTTGTGAGAGTATAAGGTAGGTAGGTAGGTACTTAAATTAAATGTGTTTTTTATTTTTGAGCTACTTTATATTTGGATATGTTTATAATTTAATGTTTTGTATCAAATGTATAATTTTAAAATTGTTTGATTATTAAGAGACATGTAAAATTGTATACACTATTAAAATAATATTTCAAGTTCTTTGTTGTGTTAATCCGTTTACCTACATACTACATTAAAATACATTATTAGTATTATTATTATTTAATATCATGAAAATCTAAAGGATATTAGAGACTTAAAAGTACCAATGTAAATTTTTATATTATAGAATTGATTATATAGGTATACATATTTAAATATAATCAATACATTTTTTTTTTATATACTACGATATTAATAATATTGCATTTTATTTCAACAAATATTTTTTAAAATTCCATTTTGCATAAAGTAAAAATTTAGATGCATATTACAATATGAAGTATATTTTATACTTTGTTCTTATCTGTAGATGTTTAATAATAACCGACTTTATACACTTGTAACGCAATCTAAAATTAGAAAATTTCATTAAAATTATTGTTTCTACTGTCAAACATTTTTGGAGTTTTATTTTGAGTGTGATATCTAATTAAATTGTGACTTCTATTTCAATATTTCATAAAATTAGTGTTCTAACTATTTAATTCAGCTTTATTATATTTATACTTTTTTTTTTTTTTGATAATATTTAATATATTATAATTTATTTTTTTAAATACATTATTTCACAGTTTTACCAATATAATCTATAAATGAATACTTATGCTATTAGGCTATATACTTGCTGGCAGCTTCAACTAATGATTAATAAATTATGACAAGTTCCAAATGTTATGTACGATATGAACTTAAGTTTTAGTTCAAATGAAGATTAGTTCATAGTTGTAACAATATTCATTGTGAATTATTGTATCATCGCAGAAGTTCAAAATCGTATAGCTCAACAATTTGAAATCAAATTTGTCATCTTATATAAAATAAAAATAACTAAAAGAAACTCCTAAGTGAGTAGGCTTCTTCATTTATAAAAATATATGATAAAGTTTATCTTTTGGCACACAGCCAACTTGTTTCCTTATAAAAACTCTTTGGTAAAAAAGTAAAAAATAATGTCCCTCGTAATAATGTAGATAATATTATGCGGGTCGGTCGTTTTCAGTTGTATCATTATAATTCTCATTTAAAACATTTTACAAAATGTATTTTGGGTCTCAGTAGTTAAGTACTCGTATGTATATAGCATATAATTATCACGTTTCTATTCAAGCGTAAGGTGAATAATTTAGAAAAGGTTGTTCTGGAAAAATTATCGACGGAATAAACGAATAAAAATTTAAATTCATCGTGATATGTTGTTACATTAATTATTCTCAATAATTTTGATACTAAATAAACTAAGTTTGAAACATATTTTAGTAAATGTAAATATTACCTATATTAATATACATAACATGTAATATAATTTTCATAGTAAATCCAATCATGACTTACAAGTCTTAAAATGAAATATAAAAATAATTTTAAGAATCTATCAGTTAAAATTACCTATTACAATAGGTACTGTAATATTTATCAATAAAATATGTTTCTTTACTGTTTGTTTGTAAAAATATAAAATCTACTTAAGCAGGCAATCGTAACTGATTTATGTGACCCTGTTTCCGTTTAGAAAGAATGCTTAAAGAATAGTTTTAGGCATATTTTTTTTTTATAGATTGAATACTATATCTAGATAATAATTTGAAGAATGACATTTTTAGATTACCAAAGTATTGTAAATTATTATAGCTTACCTTATAAAAAAGTTGGAATATTTTCAATTTATTCGCATTTAAGAAAATCTATTTTAGGTTTTTATTGTAGTTCTAAAAATAATATCTTCAATAACAGTAATAAAAAGTCACCCAGAATACATAGACCAAGTGTTTAGGTACCAATCGTTTATATGGCTTACCAGTTACCAAACATAAGGCAATGTTGTGACTTGTATTATTAAATTTAAAATCAATAAAATATGATAGACCATTACCGATCTAAAAGCTAAAACTGTCAACTGTAAATTGATTTAGAAGCCCCCAAGTTGACTTAAAGTGTTCAAAAATTATATAATGTTAAGACAATTATTAATATAGCATACTAATTACCTTAGAATAGTCTAATTACCGCATTATTAAAACAAAAATGAATTACTTATTAGTTAGTACTATACCTAATAATAAATTTTATAATATTTAAAATCGTATTATGCAATTATGTATGGCAAAATATCATATTTATCTATTTATCATTAATATTTTCTTATTTAAATTGATTTATCTCATATTGAGGATTCCATTCAAGTTAGTATTCAGTTAATACTATTTACCTGAAGTTATTACAGTTATTTATAATACATAGTCGTTAAATAATCGACGCAACACATGGTATATAAGCCAGTGGTGGGTTTCAATTTTGTATCATGATATACTTTTAATGATTAAAAAATGTACATATTTAGTAAAAATAATTTTCATTAAATTTAAATAAAATTAACATATTCATAATTATTACACCTAGTGAATCAAAACAATTTCCTGGCTAAAGAAGACCCTCCAATGTGCACCGCATGTGAGAGGTCCACATCGACATCAAACCCATTTTTTACCGAATGTCGAATATATGCCAAGATCAGAGAAAATACTATGCTTATGGATTCACTCTCGGCAGCACTCAACCAGGAACCTACTCAGTTGCCATCTCAATCAAATTCATCATCACCGAAGATCTTCTCAACATGGTTTAACTCTCTTATTGTATTTAAGTTCACTATTATAATTATTATAATTTGTACATTATTATAATAAATTATCATCCAATGGCCAGTCACCGTGGGTTAAATCAATAAAAAAAAAAATACATTTTTATACTTACAAACTATTATTTATCGAACAGCTCTTTGTAGTTTAAAATATAGGAATATATAAAGAATAGGAAACTATATACAATTTAATGGGTAGTTTAATAACTAAAATATTCGAAATATGAATTTTAAAGTTAAAAATGTTTGAGTGTTTTAGAGTAGGTATGTTTGATTTAATAAAATATCACTACAGTCATAAAATATTTCGGTTGATGAATAAATGGAATATATTTTATCCTTTATAGGGTCAAATTTAGGAATTATGTAACCTGTAAAAAAAAATAACCACTTTCATAATACGAATAATCTTTTTTCCTAAACATCGTGTTAAATATAACGAATAATAATAATAATGGAATATATATTATTATAATAATACATAAAGTGCATAGTTTTATTATTTATATTTATCGATAAATACGAAATACTGTAATTAACTAATATTAATAAATCGCAGTTAAAATCATTCAACAAGATGTAGTTCTGCAACATCATTGATAACATCACCATACTTTAGGATTAATTAAAATATTGCTTTCAATGTTTTTATACCACTAAGATATTCATGCGATCGTTATTGATTGTGGTTAGCATACTATAAGATACGTATATTTAATTGTTCTTAGAATTGAATATGAAAGTTTTACAGAAAATTTGTTGTGCGGTACTGTGCGATACAAAGTGAACCATCAACATAATAAACTGTTTGAAACTATTTGAACTTATTACCCTATACCTAGTTATATAATAGAGTTAGATCTCTAACGTTTTTTCCTTAAGTAATTTAATGTATCTTTGTAAGTGAAAGCATTCATTTCAGAAGCACGTCCATGACTTTTTATAATCGATAGCTACTTAGCGATAACATTAAATATGTATTTGTAACCGTATTTGTATTAAATGTAGGAAAATAAGTACCTAATATTAGGTACTATAAACATGGACAGTTTATAGTAACAGTACAACACCTCATATTATATTGATGATTGCTCTAACAATTTCCCTCTACCAATGAACTTGAACGTTGACTGTCAATTATTATTTTATGCATTTGTCATATTCTAGTTATTTTAGTTAGTATATTTTATTGTTAATATTGACTTTATTATAATTTCAAGAAATATTAAGATTCACATTAGTTGTGTAGGTATTTTAATTTTGAATAGTAAACAAAAATAGTAGAAATTAAGCCAGTACACAATATAATAAACAGAACACTATTAAAAAAATTAGTAATCAAATTTAAATTTAAATCAAATTTTTGGAAATTAAAAAAATCTTAAGATTTTATAAAAAAAAACATACACGAATTAATCATATTTATTCGTATCAAACATTTTTTTATTTTTATTTTTTATTTATTAACATTATATTTTTAAATATATGATTAATGTTATCTATTATATAAAAATAAGTCCGGTTTTCCTCCCTGACGCTATAACTCGAGAACGCACGAACCGATTTCCACGGTTTTGCATTCGTTGGAAAGGTCTTGGGCTCCGTGAGGTTTATAGCAAAGAAAATTCTGGAAAATTCAGGAAAAATTCAACAGAAAAGTGGGGAAATCGTTTTTCACATACAGCGCCATCTATTATACATAGCATGTACTTCAAACCAATAGCAACGGTGCGTGATAAAGTGTTTGACGGATAGTTGTTTATTATATAGTTGACGGATAGTTGTTTACATTATTCTCTGCTCAGTTAATTTCATTTAAGCTAAAATAAATTATGTAAATTATGTGGATCGTGCATTTGAAGTTAAATTCAACACTCTGTCCATAGTCCAAAATGCCTAGAGAACGACGTGCGAACATCGGCCGCCGCACAAGACATGCAAGCCAGCAACAAGTATATTCAAGGAACTTAAGAGAAGAAAGACAAAATATAATAAGAGAAAATGACCGATTGAGACATCGCGTGAGCACACGAAGATCATTGGCATCATACAATCGCTTGGCATTCCAATATGATCCCAATGCGAACTACAGTGATGATGAAAATTTTGATATTGGACGAATGACGACTATATGCCGATATTGCAATGCGTTAAAGTTCAAAAGAGAAACGGTTGGATTGTGCTGCGCAAGTGGAAAAGTCAAACTGGATCCATTACTTATTTGCATGGTTCAATGGTGCCAACCACACCAGATGAACCGCATCAATTTCTGCAAATATATTTCATTTCGTCGATGGTGGATCAGCTGAACGTGCGGTGCAATATACAGGGAGCACAACAGTTAAAGAGACGAATTATTGAACAGTTGCAAGCATTTTTTCACGCTAATAATGCTGTGGTTAATATGTTCAAAACAGCATTGGAACGAATGCCATCGGATACGCACAAATTTGTCATAAGAGCGGATTGTACTCCAACAGGTGAACATGTGCGAAGATTCAATGCACCCACCGTTAATGATGTTGCTGCAATTATTGTTGGCGATCCAACTAAATCACGAGACATTGTCGTTCAGCGAAGAAGCAATATCATGCATCGTGTAAACGAGACACATCGTTTGTACGATGCGTTACAATATCCAATCATTTATTGGCAAGGGCAAGACGGATACGACATCACGTTGAAGATGGTCGATCCAATTACAGGTACAATATTCACACACTAATTATTTCCATTATTACTTTTATTGGTTTCCATTAACAATTCATTTAATTTTGCATTTTCAGGAGTATCAACGAATAATAAAAATCTAAGCGCAATGAATTACTATGCGTATCGTATGATGATTCGTACACATGAGGAGAATGTCATTCTGAAGTGCGGTCGGCTATTCCAGCAATTCGCTGTCGACATGTATGTCAAAGTCGAGACCGAACGTTTAGCGTTCATCAGATTCAATCAGCCAAAGCTACGATCTGAGGACTATATACACTTGCGTGATGCTATTCATTCAGATGGTGATGTTCAGAATATTGGACGACTGACGGTTCTCCCATCAACTTATATCGGAAGCCCACGCCACATGCACGAATACGCTCAAGACGCTATGACGTACGTGCGAAATTATGGAACTCCGGATTTATTTATTACGGTCACATGCAATCCGAAGTGGACGGAAATTGAACGCGAGTTGGAACCAGGTCAAAAACCGCAAGATCGCCATGACATAATCGCCAGAGTATTTCAGCAAAAACTCAAGGTTATGATGGATGTGCTTACTAAGTATCGAGTTTTTGGTGACACACGTTGTTATATGTACTCGGTGGAATGGCAGAAGCGTGGACTACCGCATGCTCATATCCTAATTTGGTTGCTGAACAAATTACATTCAAATGAAGTGGATGACATCATATCAGCTGAAATTCCTGATCCAGTCACTGATCCCCGTCTACATGACATTGTGACGACACAGATGGTGCATGGACCGTGCGGTGCATTAAATCCATTATCGCCTTGCATGGCTGATGGAAAGTGCACAAAACGATATCCGCGACCGTTAGTTGCTGAAACAGTCACAGGGAACGATGGATATCCAGTTTATCGTCGGCGTTCAAAAGAAGATAACGGTCGAACTATCAAAGTTAAAGTTCAAAATCAAGAGATTGAGATCGGAAATGAATTCATTGTACCATATTGCCCGCTGCTATCACGAATTTTCGAAACACATGCAAACGTTGAGAGTTGTCATTCGGCCAAATCAATCAAATATTTGTGCAAGTACGTCACAAAAGGCAGCGACATGGCTGTGTTTGGTATTGCGTCGGAAAATGTGAATGACGAAATCAGCAACTTCCAAATGGGCAGATACGTCAGTACTAATGAAGCACTGTGGCGATTATTGTCATTTCAAATTCATGAAAGATATCCCACAGTTGTACATTTAGCAGTGCATTTGGAAAATGGCCAAAGAGTTTACTTCACTGAGGCTAATGCGGCACAACGAGCTGAGAGACCACCATCGACAACATTGACTAGCTTCTTTGCAATGTGTGAATCAGATCCATTCGCAGCGACGCTGATGTACGTTGAAATGCCCAAGTATTACACTTGGAATCAATCAACAAAGAAATTCCAACGTCGCAAACAAGGAACCCCAGTTCCAGACTGGCCACAGGTGTTTTCAACTGATGCACTAGGTCGTATGTACACTGTTCATCCTAGAAACGATGAATGTTTTTATTTGCGACTGCTGTTAGTAAATGTACGTGGACCGAAATCATTTGCGCATTTGAAAACTGTGAATGGCCACCAATGCCAAACATATCGAGAAGCATGTCAACTATTGGGTTTGCTGGAGAACGATTCTCATTGGGATTTAACACTTGCAGATTCAGTTGTTTCATCAAATGCGTACCAAATACGAACGCTGTTCGCAATTATCATCACCACATGTTTTCCTTCACAACCAATTCAGTTATGGAACAAATACAAAGACGCCATATGTGAAGATATCTTGCATCGCTTGCGTATTCAAACGAATAATCCTGACATCCAAATAACCGATGAAATCTACAATGAAGGATTGATTCTGATTGAGGATCAATGCTTGACTATTGCAAACAAGCTACTGATTGAAGTAGGAATGATTGCGCCAAATCGATCGATGCACGATGCATTCAACCAAGAATTAAATCGAGAGCTGCAATACAATGTTGATACATTGCAGGAATTCGTTAGAAATAAGGCCAATCGCTTAGTGTTTGCGGGATAAATTTGGAAAATCATTGTTTTTCACATGGACAGTTATACGTTGCGTGTTCACGAGTTGGGAAACCATCCGCTTTGTTTGTGTTAACGTCAAACCAAAAAACAAAAAATGTGGTTTACCAAAGAGCACTACAATGAAACAATTAAATAACACTTCATTTTAGTAGGTAATTGAAATGAATTTATTACTGTTGTGAAATGAAATAAATATTTTCCTTTTCAAATATATAACAAAAAAATTTTTTTTCTTTATATTTTAATCACCAAACGAAAAAAAACATAAAACGAATCTGGTGGCGAAACGGAGTTCGCCGGGTCTGCTAGTTATCTATATATATAAAAATGAATGTATGTCAGTGTGTCAGTGTGTCTGTGTGTCTGTGTGTCCATGTTACCATGGTTACCAAGGTTGCCATGGTTACTAAGGTTACCAAGATTTCATATCAATCTATATATATAAAATGAATGTATGTCAGTGTGTGTGTGTGTGTGTGTGTGTGTGTGTGTGTGTCCATATTACCATGGCAACCATATCTGTATATAAAAAACAGTAAGCTGATTGACTGCTATCAACGCACAGCTCAAACCATTGGACGGATCTGGCTGAAATTTGGCATACAGATAGCTATTATAATATAGACGTGCGCTAAGAAAGGATTTGCCAAAATTCGCATTTTAAATAGGTGCTGAAACAGGGACATTGAGATTCACGATAGAAATTGGAAATTTTATTTTTATTTATTTATAGTTGCCATTGGTTACAGTCTACATTAGAAATTAGCATTTATTTATTGGTTGCCATTGGTTATTCGGGCAGATCAGGTACAAGCTTGCATCAAATCGAATTATTGAACAATGCTTACCAGGGTGGCAGAGTTGCACTTACCGCAGAAAATTACACCCAAAAGGAGTTCAACAATCATAATTTTTTTAAGAGTTGCGATTTTTTACGAGCAACCAAATTTATAAACTTGGTATAACTTTGATACTTTAGAGTTAAATCATACACTTCCGTACAAACAGCACGGGGTCCGCGATCTACCGCAGGTAGATTGCCTACCTGATAATGTACTGCTGCGATTCAGAATTTTTATTCAGGGCAACGGGAAAGATAAGATAAATTTTGAACACCATACACGTTAATGAATTGAACAAAGTTTGAGTAGGTAGTATTGAGTTGATCCATTTAACGGGCGACGAAGTGCACGGGATCAGCTAGTTGAATCTATCTTCACTTAGGTTCTAGGCAACTAATAATGTTATTATAAATCATCACACCTTTTGTCTTATGGATCCGTGTGTCGTGGCCTTGAAAATTTAATCCCAGAGTTACGTTATAGTAATATAATATTATATTTCCTCATTAGTTCCTCTTTAAAAAAATATGAAAAAAATATCGTAAGCCATAATGTTTTCTTAGCCATTTAAATTTAAAATTGTACGGATTTCATTAAAATTCAAAATATTTAAAATTATATTGTAGCTCCATTCAGAATCTAAACATCTATAAGATAAGTCTTGCATTCATTTTGCATTCTAATGTATATATTTTATATTAAAATTACTAAGTACTACGCACCGTTAATATTTACTGTAAATTATTATGTTTAATTAATTAAAATAGACCATATTTATATGATTCATATTTATATTATTATACTAGATACCCCCGTATAGAAGGGGGTTAGAATACTTCTACGGCTCCTCAGCCTGTCGTAAAAGGTGACACATGAGGTTGTGTTAGGTCGACAGCCGGTGTAAAATTTTTGTCAAATCTGTAAGAGAGGTCCAACAAATTGTGGCAGTTTCAGTGACGAAGAACATGAGTGTGAATGGAAAAAGAGGAAGAGTAAGACCTAAAAAGAGATGTTTTGAAGTCATAGAGTGTGATATGAGAATGACTGGTGTTTGCGAGGAGGATGCTAAGGATCGTAGTAAGTTTAAATTGAGGGTCAGGGTGGCCCACACCAAATAGTTGGGAGAGAAGGCTAAGGAAAAGCCTATATCAATTAAATCAATTAAATTTTGTAGCCATGTATCATATAATTATAACTTTTTATTTTTGTAAAATATTAATTCAAGTTACACTTTCTGAGACGACCCGAACAAAGGAAAATGAATAATGAGTTTTTATTATTTATAAGGGTAGATAAACTACCGTACGGAAATTTTTTATTGGAGACTTTTTTTGCTTAGCAAATGGGTATACATATAAACCTTCCTCTGTAATCACTCTATCAAATTCAAAAACCGCATCAAAACAAGTTGAGTAGTTTTAAAGATCTAAGCATACAGATTACAGACAGAAAAATAGACTTTGTTTTATATAGTGTAGCCCATAAAGTGCTTTTAAATCTGCAGCCATTTTTTTAAATGTATTGCCAGCCCTATTCTTATCATTTATAGTAAATACTATTACTTCCTACCTATTAACTAATGGAAAGCACTTAGAGAGAGAAACCTGTGCCGCGATACGAAAGAGAAAGAACTATGAATTGTTGTGAATTTTAACGAGGACCATTTACATTAAGTTTTTTCATCC